AAGGAAGGAATGAAGAAAGAAAGAAAGAAAGAAAGAAAGAAAGAAAGAAAGAAAGAAAGAAAGAAAGAAAGAAAGAAAGAAAGAAAGAAAGGAAGAAAGAAAGAAAATTGTCCAGTGAGAGACTTAGAAAGAGGGAGTCAGACAGAGACAGAAACAGAGAGGGAGAAACACAAATGGAAGGGCCCAAAGAGAGCTGGGGTGAGACAGCAGGCACACAAGAAAGAGACTGAACTAAAGGGGAAAAATATTATATAGATCTATCTATCTATCTATCTATCTATCTATCTATCTATCCATCTATCTATATATGGAGAGAATCCTAGAGAAAAATAGCAAAACAGTGAAACAGTGAGAAAGTGAGGGCGACAGAAAAACAGACTGACTGGAGCACACGCACAGAAAGAGGCAGAGACAGAGAGAGACACGTTGGTTAAAGGAGGCCGGGAAGGATGCACAAACACGGAAAGAGGCTCCGATGGAAGCACAGGAACCCACAGAAATGCAACCAAGGTCACTCAAGCCTGCGACCTGGGACCGCCGCCCCCTACGGGCACTTCCCGCTGTTGGAGCTCGCGTGCTGCTCGCGCCACACGTTCAGGATAGGGACTCGGTCTTCCCGCTTGTGAAATCACTAGAGAAGTTGAAACTTCTCTAATGGCATCGGTTGACGGCCACCTGATGACCATAGGCTGCCCGCCCTGACGCCACGCCGTCGATCCCGTGCAGTCCCCTTCCCTCTGAAAACAGCCTGGCGCGCGGGACGCGGAATGGGCTCACCGCGAAGTGGCGGCTCGGGCCCCGCCAGGGTCTCTGGGGCCCTCCCCCCATCCAGCCCCAGGCTCCCCACGTGTGAGTAACCTTGAAGAGGGCGGCGTCCTCCTCGCGGTTGTAGTCCTGCTTGCCCGCGTGCTTCCAAGGGATGCGGAAGATGCTCTTCTCCTCGTTCTCCCACACCAGCCCCGGGTATTTGCCGCTGTCGATCTGGTCGATCAGCCACTGGCGGAGTTTCCCGTTGCCGCAGCTTACTGAGCTCATGCCGAACTCTCCGCCTCGGCCGCCACCGCCCTCCAGGTTCATGCCCAGCGCGCCGACTGTCGCCCTCTCGCGCCCAGGACCCGCCTCCTGCACTCAATGACTTTGCGCTGCGGGAGAGAGCAGGACCGCCCTTGAGCCACCGCGTCACGGGGCTTGGGGCGCCCTGTCCCAGGCAGCTCTGGCAAGGACCACGAGGCCCGGGAGTCTCCGAGGCAGCGAGGCGCGCTACCGAGTCGGTGTCATCAAAGGTTTCTGAGATGAGGCACCTTCTCCGCGGACGGGGCTCGTTCTTTGGCGCTCACAATCCTGCCGCCTCGGGAGAGCGTGCCCTGCGCGGAGGGGGTCTCCCTATTCCACCTTCTGGACACTCCGTTTTTGTCACGCACCCCACAGCCCAGATCACAACTCTCGCCTTTGCACANTAAGTTTGAAAATAACCCCAAAACTGTCTTTTCTAAAACATTAAACAAAATGAATTCACTTATGAAATCTTGCTGATTTCAGAGCCTTCTTCAAAATATGACTCACAGACTGAAAGGACCAAGTTTGGTTTGCAAAGGGCCCCTTAACTGAAATGCAAAAGGGCCTCATGGATAGGCAACAGCTACCCATGGTAATTGCATGGCATGGAAAAATGAATAGGAATTGCAGTTCTCTAATAAATGCTTTCAAGGTGATAATTAATCTGTATTATGCATACCAAAACCAGAAACCCACAAAATCCTCTTATTCCTCAAGGGCAGATTTTGAGACTTAACCCACATATGGTCTCAATTCTCCGCTTCAATTTCTGCCTCTGTAAACAATGGCTGAGAGCTAGTTCAGATGGTTGGGTACCTTGATGAGAGTGGGCGTTGGCCACTAGAGGTGACTTGCAGGGCAGGTTTCATTTCATTTCATGTCATCAGAAATCACGAGGTCAGAGTGATATAAATAGCTGTTTATTTCCTACTCTTTAGTCACCCACACAAGTAAGTCTTAGGTGCTTAAGAAAAGAGTTTGAAAATTTCTAAAAACATGCACAAGCCTTTCTGCTTGGAAATCTCCTCCCCACCATCACTCAGGAGCATCTAAGAAGAAAAGCAGCAACCTCATTCAGAACTGCAGAACTAAAAAGAACTATAAGATCAAAACTCCAGCTCCCCTGGGAGCAAGAAAGGCTTCCACAACTCTTTCCTCCCTGAAACCTTGAGAATTTACTTTATATTTTCTATCACTGATTTTTAAAGAAGCCAGGGGCGGGGGGCAAGGTGAGAATTCGGAAGCTTAAGCTATTCATTTTTAATATAAATACAAATCCTATTTTTAAACAATCTAAAACATTACATAAAAAATAAATATGCATATACCACATATTCTTAGGACACCTTGAGGTGCCTTCCTTAAAACAGGTAAGCTCTCCAAGGTGCCAGGATTCTTTTAGAAATGAAACTTTGAAAAGCAGATCTAATTTGTATTATTTTGGAAGCAATATCAAAGTTCAGAGGAAGACCACAGTCTTCATGGGAATGCAATGGAGGCCAAGAAGCCAGAACTAATGCTGAGGAGGACCTGTCTGTGACTAAATCTGGAAGGATAATCAGCTTTTCAGAATGAGAAGCCCTTGTGTTTTTTTCTAAGAAATTATACTACATTGTGAGAATGTTAGCTAAGGAGGAGCCCTTGGTAAATGAAACTGGAGTGTTTGCATATTCTTGGAAATTCAGAGAGATGCCACTGGAGAACTTAAAATGACTCAGCCAGTGCTAGAATTGCATCACAATCATAAGCTGGCTGCTCTGTGCTGACTTTCCTAATGGTGTGCCTCATTCACACAGGTGGGGAGTCAGGTGTGCCCATTCCAGGCACCAGCGGGAGGAAAGCAAGTGCCCACAGGCTATGCTCACCGACTGACACATCACATCCACACAAAGGTGAGGGTGAGTGTCACAGAGCCAGCCCCCGTGGGTACCTCCAGACCGGACGCCACACTCACCTGAGAGGGCCAAGGCTTCAGCAGACCTTATGCTTGGCTCTATGGGGATTCCAGGGGTCTGGGATTCAGGCGGGGCACAAGCATAAAAGGTTCCTGTCACCTGGCAACCTGTATTTGCAAATGAAAATCAGATGATGTCTGAACACAGTCCATCCACACATAGGGAGGCCGTCTTTCCCTGAAGCCTGGCCACTTAGCCCTGGGTGGGTGCATCAACCCTAGAAGGCAAGGGCTTCAGGCTGGCCCTCTAGAGTGGATCACTGGCTGTCTCAAGAAGCAAAGACAAGTTGAAGTCTGATGGTAAAAACCAAAGTCGAAGGAGGAGGGAGAAAGCCTTTTCACATTTTGGAAGGAAACTCAGAACTTGCCCTCTGTAATTTTCCCTTTCTTCTTTCCTCCCTCCCTTTCTTCCTTTCATTCTTTCTTTCAGTTAGTTAACACCTTCATCACCACACATTAAAACGTGTGTGTGTGTGTGTGTGT